TTTGGGGTGACTATGGAGGCACCATATAGACCCTCATCACCTCCTGACTTTGGGGTGATTATGGAGGTGCCATATAGACCCTCATCACCTCCTGACTTTGGGGTGACTATGGAGGCACCATATAGACCCTCATCACCTCCTGACTTTGGGGTGATTATGGAAGCACCGTATAACACCTCATTCCCTCCTGGCTTTGGGGTGACTATGGAGGAGCCATATATCCCAGCACCTCCTCCCAGTTTTGGGGTGATTATGGAAGCACCATATAACCCCCCATCCCCTCCCCGCTTTGGGGTGACTGTGGAGGCACCCTACAACCCCTTGTCCCCTCCTGGCGTCGCGGGTGCAGGCCCGGAGGTGCAGCAGCCCCGGCCGGGCACCGCAGCGGCTCTGCGGGAGGGGTAATAATTAACCGAGTGAATGCCTGGGAGTCGGGGGGGGGGGGGGGGGGGGAAAGATGCACGTCCCAGATAGAGCCAGAGAGCGGCCGCCCGGTGAACCCCGAGGCTGGCAGTGGTGCCCCCCTGCTGTGAGGACAGTCCCCAAAACTGAGCTTTTAAGAGTTTTGGGGTGGTTTTAGAAGAAAAGTCCCGGCTGGGACTGTGTCACCGTGTCGGGCCCACACGGGCAGGGCTGGTCCCTCCTGGTCACCACCCGGAGCCATCGCCGTGCTCGCAGCCTTGGCGGGGTTTGGGTCATCACCCCGGGGAGCCGTCCATGGAGCCACCAACTGTCCCCAGCTTGGTGACAGGACAGGAGCCATCCAGGGGCTGTCCCCATCCCGCAGCGGGAGCGCGGGGGCAGAGCCAGCCCCGGGGGGTGGCCGGGCGGGGACCTGGGGAGCATCGCACGGGTCAGACACACAAACCCCTGGCATGACAACGGTTAATGGCTGGGGAAGGGATAACCCCCCCCCCCGAGCTCGGGGGTTTAAACCAATTACTCTTGGAGTCAGGATGAGGCATCGTAGGGGGCAGCTTATCCCCCCGGTGCCCACTGAGAGGTTCTCACACTTCCCTCATTGTGGCTTCTGGCCTGTTGGAGCCAGGACTCGTACAGGCGGGCTCAGGGGGCGCCTCCAGCCTGGAATTCTGCCCCTTCCCACAGCCCAGGCCCTGGGGAGGCACAGGGCAGCCTCGTCCCGCAGGGCACGGCCGTGCCCGGTTCCTCGGAGCCGGGCAGGAACAGCTCTATGCGCCGGAGCCGCTCCAGACCCACCCCTGATTTCCACAGAGCCTCACTCAAGCATCCTAATTGCTTTATGCCTTAGTTTCCCCTTCTATAATTTAGGGATAAGGCAACTTCCCCGCTCCCAGAGGGCTGAGAGCTTTAATTAAAGTTTGCAAAGTGCTCTGCAGTCATTGAATGAAAGGCGCCAGCTCCTTATTGTTCCAGAAATGCCCCAAAGGTAGGAAAGAAAATGGTTCGAGTCCGGGGCAGGGGGGGTTATAATATATACCGGTGCCATAAAGCGGCTGTTTCAAGGGACTAAGCGTGGCTTAAAGTCAGGGGTTGGTGCTGCGCTGGCTCAGCTCACCTGGGGAGCACGGCGAGGTGCCAGCGCGGGCCGTGGCCTCGCTGCCTGGCGCTGGGGAAAGGGGAAAGGGGTGGTGTGTGCGGGGATGAGGGGGGCTGCGGGCCCCGACCCACCTGCCAGAGGGTGAAGGCTGCAGCCAGGCCCGTGCTGGGCAGCAGCAGAGGCCGAGCAGCGGCACCCAGGGAGCTGTGGGGCTGGGGAGGCCTGGGGCACCCTGCCTGCAGCACCCCGCATCCCTGCCTGCAGCACCCCTGCCTGCAGCACCCTGCACCCCTGCCTGCAGCACCCCGCACCCCTGCGTGCACGGCACCCTGCATTGCCAGCCACATGGGTGCCCACAGCACCCCACTCCACCAGTCCTGTGGGTGCTTTCAGCACCCTGACCCCCACACCGTGCCCCTGCTGCCGTGACCACCGCGGCGCTGGCACCAAGGGTGGGTGCAGGGGCCTCAGATGGAGCCCCTGCTGCCTCCCCGGGCTCCTGGGACAGCGTTTGCCCACCATCCGGTAGGAAAAGGCTTCCTGAAACCTGAATTAATTATCTATAATTGTTGTTGTAGGCTGTCTGTAATTAGCTACCAGGTTCTATACGGTCCAGCCCAAGCCGCTGCGGCCCTGGGACGGCTCCATTGGCCCACGGCAACTTGCCACTGGCCACCAGAGGAAACAGGGCTGGGTTTAGCCATGGGCTGGGGCGCAGCCCCGACACCAGGGTGATGGGCACCGACTTGTGG